AATATTAAGAGGCAGAAATCAAGATAAACAACCAAACGGGAACCACAACGGTGAAAAGCACAAACCCCCAAACCATGCGGTAGAGGGGCTGGATTCACAGCAGCTCTGAGCTGCCAGAAGAATCGTGAATGGAGTAGTGCACGCTCCACTAAAAAGAAATAGCAAAAACTCAGGGAATGGGACCATGGACCACCGAGTGCGCCTGCAGACTCAGCATGAGGACACGGGGAGGGCGGGAAGGACATTCCAGGAGCAGTGTGGTTGAAAATTTCCTGGGTTTGAGCCAGGCGTGGTGGCTCATGCCTGTAATCCCAGCTGAGGCTGAGGCAGGAGGATCGTTGTGAGTTCGAGACCAGCCTGGACTACAAAGTGAGCTCAAGGCCAGCCTGAACTACATAGTGAGACCCTGTCTCAAAAAGACAACAGCAACAACAACAACAAAACCCAAAAACTTCCCGGGTTCCCTGAGAAATAATCCACACACCCAGTAAACTCAATGAACACGGAGTTGGGTTACTTGGAAGTACACCCAGCCTGGTTCAGTGGGTTCAGCTTGGTTATCCGATCTGGAATCACTGCATCAGTCCACTGTGTGCTTAGCAGCGTGCAAAGAGAAATCCAGAATTTAAGGGGGGGAGCACAGATGCATTCTATAAATGTCTCAGCTCCTCACGACAGGCGCAAATATATACTAATAAAGTTAAAAAACCACTTAAAAAAAAAGTATGCCATTCAGAAGGGCATTAAACCAGTAAACGTGTACGTGCATACCTGAGTTTGATCCCTAGTACCACCAAATGTAATAAAAATTTTTAAAAAATAAAATAAGTAAAATAAGAATACATTTAATAAAAGTCGTTTAAAATGTGTACTCTGGAAATGTCAAAACAGCATGGAAAAGAATGAAGCCAGGCACAGCAGTGAATGTCTATGGTCCCAGCACTCAGAGGCTAAGGCAGGAGGATCAAAGTTTGAGGCCAGCATAGACTACATAGTGAGATTCTGTCTCAAAATAATGGAAAAAAAGAAAAAAGAGAGAAAGAAAGGAAGAAAGAAAGAAAGAAAGAAAGAAAGAAAGAAAGAACTGAAAGAATACCCCAGCAGACGTGGAAATGCGCTGTCCATGAGTCAGAAGAGGAGCCCTGTACTGATCTAAAGGCCCCCCAACTCCTTCTCTAGAGAGCGCCTCGCTTATTCTGAGGTTCCCGGGACCTGCAGGGGACCTGGAGCAGCCCAGGCAATGCTGAACAAACACAACACAACACAAGGCCTTGATTTCAAAACTGACCACGCAGCAGCCGTCACTGAGAGACTACGCTGCTGGCAAAGCCGATGACGCTAACAAGACTGAGGCCCGGAAGTGACCCAGACAGTGCAGGTGGCTGACCTGAGACAGAGGCATCAAGCCACTCATCAGGGGGGCAGGATGGCCACAGAGTGGGCAGCTGGGAGCCGTGTGTACAAGGGAGACACGCGGCTGTGTGGCTCAGTGCCCCAGGCCCTGGGCCCTCCTAAATCTAAATCCAAAAGAGCACTGCAAAAGAATGAAGGTGAGCCTTCATGTCACATATAAAAATTAGCTCAGAATGGATCAAAGATCAAGATATCAGAGCAAATGTTATAAAACTCTTAGAAGAAAACATGAGGTGAACCTTCACGATCTTGTATTCACCAAAGGCTTCTTAGGAAGGAAACCCAAAGCACAAGCAACCCAAGAAAGAAGTTCGACTTTTTCAAAATTTAAAACTTCTGTGCTTCGCAGGATATCATGCAGAAGGTGGAATCATACTGTTGGCTGTGGTGGCACGTGTCTGCAGTGCTAGCTTCTCAGGAGGCTGAAGCAGGCAGACTGCAAGTTTGAAGCCCATGTGGGCCACTGTAGACTGTGTTGTGAGACGGTCTCAAAACACAAACAGGAGACTCATGAGAGATGGGTCAAAGGATCTGAACAGGTACTTCTCCAAAGAAAAGCTATGTGATAGGTGAGTGCATGAAAAGAAACAGTGTGATCACTGGAGAACTGAAAATCATAGCCACATCAGAGCCTGCTTTGCTGCCACGGACATGGCCAGCGTGGCTGGTGACGAGTGCCGCTGGCTGAGCTGGGATTGGAAGTTGCACGTGCCGTGGCCGGGAGCTGCTTGGGTGACGGCGGCAGGTTCTCAAGCAACTAAACACAGTGGGGAGACCAATGACCTCTCTTGGGATCACGTCCAGCAGGAGCTGTGCGCAGGTCTTTATAGCAGCAGCACTGTGTACGCTGGCCACAGCGGCTGGGGGATGAATGCAGAAGCTGACGGGGCACCCGGGCTCCTGCGGATGCTGCCCTCTCCCAGCTCACGTCTGGGTTCACAGTAGCGTCTTTGCACACTCCAGCTGCCACAGGCTGGCCCTTGCTTTGGAGCTTGGAGCATCTAGGACAAGGGAGGCGCCGCACGGACACTGCCCTGTTAGGTGCGGGGAAGGACGGAAAGAAGTATGTGCGTTCCAGGACGCTGCCGCTTTTTCATCTAACAGCCTCCGTTTGTGGTCGGTGAACCTACAGGTACAGAGCTCAGAGGCAAGAGATTAGCATACAGCCACACAGAGGCTGACACTTGGCCTCGAAAAGCATTCTTGTACGCCATCCTTGCTAAAGCATAGACAGACTGGGTAAACAGTACTCTGAACCCAAGAGGTTAGAGTTAGAAGTTTCAGTTAGAGGATTCCATTCACATGCAAGTGCAGAGGAAAGAAATCTACAGACAGGAAGATTAGTGGTTGCCAGGTGTGGTGATGCAAACCTATAATCTAAATACTCAGGAGGCTGAGGCATGAGGTTGCTGTGAGTTCAAGGCCAGCCTAAGGTACTCAGCAAGACCTCGTCTCAAAGAACAAAAAGATTGTTGCTTAAGACAGGGAGCAGGAAAGAGAGCACAGGAACTAATAACTAAAGAGCTGGGTTTCTTTATGAGATAATGTTTTTTTTTTTTTTTTTTGAGATAACACGTTTAAAAATTATGGTGATGACTGCACACACCCATGAAGAAGCTACAAACTGAGTTACACATTTTTAATTAGATCGTGTCAACTGATACTTAATGCTATCACTGCCACTTGCATATCTCATGCAATGATTACTGCATATTGTTATTTAATAAAGCTATTAAAATGTCAGGTGCAGCGACATGCCCCTGAAATCTCAGCCTCTTGGGAGACTGAGGCAGGAGGATCAAAGTTTGCTCTCAGGCTGAGCAACTTAGTGAGACCCTGTCTAAAAGAAAACACGGTGGGTGGTGTTGCTGGGGGGGGGGGGGGAGGATCCCTGGGTCCCATCTTCTGAACTGCTGAAAACAGCAAACAAAGCAACACATGAAGGGCACAGAAGGCATGCCCGTGTACCCAGGAGAATGGAAACACGCTGAGAGCTCAACAAGGTCACACCAGGCTGGGGGCACGGTGATGCTCACCTGCAACCCCAGCACTTGGGAGGCTGAGGCAGGAGGACTGCAGTGAGTTCGAGGCCAGCCTGGACTGCATAGTGAGTACTAAGCCAGCCTCAAGTATATAGGGAGACCCCGTCTCAGAAAACCACAATGATAAAACCTCCAAAACACAAACAAAAAAACCCACACCAAAACCCAGCCCAACTTCCATAGACTAACAAGGGATTCAGGAACGAGACTAGAACGGTGCCACTTATGGGTGCATCAACAGGAGCTGCACAGCGCTGCCAGGGGCTCAGCAGGTGAGCGGCGAAGGTGTGGTCCCCCAAGCTATCACCGGTGCAGCTGGCTCTGAAGGACAGGACTTCCAGTGACTTGGATGATGGTGGAAAGCACCAAGAGGTTACAGCAGCCTTTAGGACTCACTTAACCCAGTATTAGGGGTTTTGTTTTGTTGACTTTTTTTTTTGGTACTGGGGATCAAACTCATGACCATGCTTGCAAGGTAGGCGCTTATACTGCGGAGCTAAATCCTCGGGTGTTTTTGAGACAGGATCTCACTATGTAGCTTAGGCTGACCTCAAACACTCTCTGTAGTCTAGACTGTAGCGATCCTCCTGCCTCAGCCTCCCAAGTGCTGGAGTGACTGCTATGCCAAGGCAAAGGTTTGCTTTACAGTAATCATCAGCAACATGTGATAACTGTGATGTCACCAGTGGGACAGATGACACAGCAACAGCACAAAAAATAAGAGGAACGCAAAAACGCTAACCTTCCCACAGAAGCAAGGCAGGAGTAAGGAGTGCCTAGGAGGTGGGTAAGAAGTGCCACTGGGTCGCCATACCAGTGCGGCTCAGGAACAGCTGGGTCCCCAGGGGTGAGACGCCCTTAAGTTTTGCCGTCTGGTGGGAACGCTTGTTTGTCCTTAAACAGAAACCATCCGCTTGCCCACACTTAGAAAGGTGGAATCTCAGAACGTGGCCAGGGCAGTTAAACCAGAGGGGCTGAGGAGACAGCTAAGCAGAGTAGCGCCTGCCTCCCCCACTATGAGGTCCAAAAGAAAAAAAGCCACAGTAAAACTGATCCCTGGACTCCATGTGAGTTTAACACTGTGCTCTGAAGAGCTTGCATAGGTGCAGAGGTGGCAGCCTGGGAGGTGCAGGCCACACTGCCACCATTGTCTGGGGCTGACTGGCCCCAGGCCCTCAGGACAAAGGAGGAGGCTGCAGGAGCCTCCACAACCAGCTAGCGAAGCAGAGGTGAGCAGACACTCAGAGGCTCTGCTGGGGAACCCACTAAGCAGGACCACCCAGCTGGGCAGTCCAAATCAGGGATGCTGGCAGGTGGCTTTTGTCCCACCTTGCACGTGAAGCCCAGGCAAACGGAGACTCACACAGGAGGCTTTTGTGTCACTTTGTCACTGGCCTTCTGCTGATGTGGTCAGCCCTCAGGACAAGAGCCATCCAAGGAAGCTCGAGGCGGCTCAGCTTGCCTTCAACTCCAGCCAGGAGAGGACGCAGTGTTAACCACCAGTGTCCCCAAACACCCCAAAATAAAATGCAGTGGGAGCAGGAAACAGGTTTGAACTTTATTTTCTAACTCCACCTACTGCGTGCGGGAGACAGCACCTGAGCCTGCACTGTGTGGGGTGGTTTCCCCTCCTACTGGGCTGGGACCTGGCCTGGGTCACCAACTACCTGAGGACCAGGACCAGATTGCTCTTCACAGGATGGGGTCAGGTAGGTGAAAGGCAGCGGCCCCGAATTGTTCAGGGGTGAGCCACAGCCCTGACAGTTTGGCTCTGGGTGGTGGTGACAGCTGAGTGGGCCTTTTCTTTCCAGGTGTCTATGCAGCCCTCTTATCACTCATCACTAGAGGCCACTAAGGTCACCCTCAGGCCTCAGCCTCATCTCTAGGGAGGCTTGAGTCGAGGGCCACACCCTGCAGGCACAGGGGTGAGAGGACAGATGCAGAGGTGGGACAGGAGAGATCCTCAGAAGGAAGCCAGAACACCCCTTCGCCTGTGTGTGTGTGACAGCCACGACACCAATAAAGACGGGATGGGACTGTCCCTCGTGGGGAGCAGCTGACCACTCTCTGGCTTGGCCAGGGGGCTATTCAGAGAGCATCTGTCCTCCAAAGTGACCCCCTCCTGCCACCCAGCACATAGAGCTGGCCTCCGAGTCAGCCCTGGGCATGGGTTTGTCACTTGGCCAGCTCCTCAGCCATGGCTTTGCGCATCTTGTCCTTGAGGTAGGCGCCTTTCTGCCACTGAGACTTGAGCTCCAACCACTCGTAGTATGGGACCTGGAGGGAGGCAATGTGACGGCTTGCAGGGGCTGGGAACCACCTGCCCTTCCTTGCCTAGCCTCCATCCACGTGGCCGGGCTTTGACGGAAGGCCCAGCTCCCTCAGTGCAGAGGAGCCTGCACCAGACACACAAGTGTTGATGAGAACCTCCCATAAGCCCGGAGGAGAGATGGCGACAGAGCCATGCTCAGGCCTTGAAGCTAGACTCTTAGTTCCTGTATCGTGGCTCCAGGGCAGGTCTTCAGGGTCCCTGTCCTGAGAACAGGCCCTTGGGTACCAGCTGCACCCCTCACTAGCAAGCCAGGAGCCTGCCCTGCCCACCACAGGAGCTGGACAGGCTCAGAGACGGGCTGGCACCTGCCTGCTCCAGGTGGCTCTGGCATGGGGACCCTCCCTTCCCAGCAGCTACTCACATCTACCAGCAGGAATCCTGCAGCCTGCAAGTGCCGCCTGGCCAGGACAAAGCGACCCAGCAGGTCTCTGCTTTTGGTGCTGAAGTGGGGGAACTCCCAGAGCAGGACCGCGAGCCTGCAGGAGGGAGGAGATGGTCTGCTCTGCTGGCCCCTGGGAGCAGGGGTCACGGGAGCAGGGTTAGGGGACCTGGCCACCCACCTCTTAGCCCCCGGGGGCAGTGGGCGGCCTTCTGCTGGCTGGGCAAGGTGCGGTGCAGCGAAGTCCTTCAGCGGCAAGAACTGGCCATCCGTGTCCAGCAGCACCTCTGCATCTGGGGAGGGATGCGTACAGGTGAGGGCTGACTGGCCTGACCCCAGACACCGTGGGGCAGGTGGAGAGTGGTGGGGCAGAGTGAGGAGCCCTCACCCAGCACCCAGCCGTACTGCGTGACCACATTGAAGCTGCCCTGGCTGGCGTTGCCTAGCAGCTCCTGCAGTGTCTCCCGTAGCTCCTGCTGCAGAAGGGTCACCTTCTGGTCAGGGCTGGAGGGTGTGGGGCCCACGGCTGTGGCTGGCAGGAAGGGGCCCTGGTACTCTGGGTGCTCCAGCTGGGCAGTGGCGTTGATGTTCATGAGCTTCAAGAAGGTGCTCTGGTCTTTCGGAGACGTGGCTCCTGGGGGAGAGGACAGTGAGGAGAAGGCAGGGACCCCAGGTGTGCAGCTGCCTGTGTGAGGCACAAGGCTATGCTTGTGGGTGGGTGAGGAACTCACCGAGAAACTGTGTGTAGAAGCTGGGGTCCAGGATGGCCCGAAGCTCGGTCTCCTGCACCTGCTGTAGCACGCAGAGCGCCCACACCACGTCCACCTGCAGTGCAGGCTCCAGGCTTGCCAGCTCAGGCCCCAGCCGCTCATGTACCTGGGCAAGGACAGGCTGTGAGGGGACACTGGCTCCACTCAGGCCAACAGCACCCCAGGTTGGACCACAGTCCAGCAGGCCTGGCAGGACATGCCCCAAGACCAGGTATTTAGCCAGGCTGCCCTACCGCTGCACATGGGTGGAGGCCTTCCCCAGCAGTGTCCATGGTGAGTGCTGGGGAGGGGGGAAAGGTCCCCAGCCCTCTCGGGCCCAGTGATGGGTCTTGGCCCCCTGGCCTGCCAGCTTCTGTGCCCTGTGTGGGGTTCACCACAGGATGTGGTACCCCTCACCCACCCACACCAGGTGCCATGGTCCCTGTTCTTTTACTTGGGCCGGGCTGCTCCTTGGGTGTCCGTACCAGCTTGAAGAATTGGTTCCCCTGCTGTGGATGGAAGTTCAGGCGGGAGAAGGCCAGCAGGACGCTGCACAGGTGGGCTGTGGTGACATCTGGGGCTCTGAGCAGGAGGTGCTAGGCCGGTCAGGGGCGGCAGAGGGACAGGGTAAGTTCCAGATTGTGAGCCTTCCCTTTGCCACCCAGTAGCAACTGGTCACACAGGACAATGCCCCAGCCCCCTGAACAAGCAGCTTCGATGTCACCTGGGTGGCTAGCAGCTGGGGAGAGCTCCAAGGGACACCTGGCCTCCTCCTCTGCCCTTCCCACCCTGTCTGCCATGCCTGATGAAAATGCAATGCTGGACATGGAAAAGCGCTTTCCAAGCAGGCCCAAGAATGCCACCTCTGCCCCCAGACAGCGCTTCTCAACTGGCTATGCTTCCCTGACAGAGGCCATAGTGCCACCCTGAGGCGGGAGCAGGGAGGGCACTGGGGACTGACCCGAGGTGGGCACACAGCGGCTTACCTGCACTAAGGCTTCAAACAGGGGCACGTTGAGCCACCTGAGGAATGCGAAGGACGTGGCACACTGTGCCATCTCACCGGGTGTCAGGCTGGGCACGAGGGGCAGCAGGTCAGAGGCCAGGCGCTGGCACACTTGGCCCTGGTGGAAGCTGAGTTTGCCTGCGGGATGGAGCAGAGCACAGGGTTCAGCTGGGAGGGGAGCGGCTGGCTGCTACCCACCTCAACCCTGAGGCATAGGCTTCAGCTGTCTGTGACTGAATTTATCCCTGCATCCGACAAGGGGCGCAAGGCCCATGAGTCACAGTGTTTCTGTGGCAGCCTCCTGGGCCGGTGCCTGCCATGCAAGGCGGACCCCGAATTTGACACGGCTGCAGGCACGCAGATGGGCCCTTGGCACTCACCGTAGGCGTAGGCCAGGTCCAGAAGCATGCCTTTGGTTAGCGGGAAGGGCTTCTGCACCAGGTGGTAGGAGACAGCCCGCAGCAGGGGCACCGACCGCCGGCTCTGAGCTGCCAGTGTCGTGAGCACCTTCCGCAGCTCTTCAGGGCCGAAGTGCTCCATCAGCTCCAGGCACTGTCAACCACAGCCGTGCGGGAGTGAGCTCGATGGCCTGAGGTGGCAGGGACGAACTGGGGGCAGGGGTCCCATCCAGTGCAGCCCCTGTGAGACAGCAACTGGGCCTGAGCTGACTCCACACAGCTTGTGTGGAGCCTGCTGGGAACCCCAGGACCGCGATGCTCTGTCCGCAGCCAAATTCATCCCCGGGGCCAGACAAGGGAACCGGAGCCCATGAGCGGCGGAGCTCACTGTAGCAGCCACTTGGGCCAGCCTCTGCCACAGTGAGACGAAGGCTGAATTTGACTCGACTGCAGAGTACAGCAGCATTGGGAAGATGAAGCAGATGAGAGCTGGATGGGGGGATGCGTGTCTCCAGGAGAGGCCCAGAGATGGGCCTGGCTAGGACCTGTGCTAACAGCAGCAGCTGCCTGGCTCAGACTGCATAGGCTCAGGGTTAAGAGAAAGAGCCAGAGCCGGGCATGGTGGCTCATGCCTGTAATCCCAGCCCTTGGGAGGCTGAGTCAGGAGGATTGTTTCGAGTTCGAGACCAGCCTGGGCTACAAGGTGAGCTCAAGGCCAGCCTGAACTGCATAGCGAGACCTTGTCTCAAAAAGATAAAAGAGAAAGAGCCAGGAGTGATCTGGGGACGCACCATACACTACAACACAGCTGGTAGTGCTGCTGGACTAAGGTGGCCATAGAGTGACCACCCGTGGCTTCCTGGAGGCCTCTGGCCGCTCCCTGCATGACACCAGCACTTCTGACCAAAGGTTCCAGGGTTTCTGTGGCTAGGCACACGAAGCCCTTCTGCCAGCTCTCAGCCCGTACCTTGTCTTCCAGGCGGGTCATCAGCAACTCCGAGAGATGGCCTGCCTTCGTCATGATGGCCACCAACATACGGCTGTCCTCGATCTCTGTCCAGCGCCTCTCCAGGTGCACCAGGAGCTCGGCCAGAAGCTTGCTCGAGGACTCTGTCTGCATGGATGCGCAGGACTCTGCCAGGAAGGCCAAGTGCTTGTATCTGAGCCTGCGCAGGCGCCAGCGCACCTCCTGCTCCACCGACTGCAGCTCCCGAGTGCTCTCAGGCAGCCTCAGCAGGTACAAGCTCCGCAACAGCTTCACAAGAGTCCCGTGCCACACAGAGGATATCTGGGTAGAGAAGGACATGCAGCATCCTAGTCACCCTGTGTCTGGCTACAGCTGCCTGCAGGGCAGGTGTCTGGAGAATGGTGAGCACCCATTTTTCTGACAGCTTCCCAGGCCTGGATGGCCATTTGCAAAAACATTCTGCCTAGCGAGGCCAGGGTGGTTTGCTCTTGTCTGTGAGCAGATCAAGTCCAGCCCTGGTTTGCAGCAGTGAGCAGCCCAGGGCTATGACTGATGGTGGAAAGGTGGCACTTGGGCTTCCTCAGGTCAGTGTGTCACCAGCTAACTACTTCTACTATCATGACAAACACTTAGCGCCAATGTCTGGCACTGCAGGGCGCAGCTCCAGGTGTCCAAGAGCTGCCAGACCCCTAAATCAGTGTGGCCACGGGAGCAGGAAAATGGGCAAGCAGACCCCTCCATACCGACCCCAGCCTGTCTTTCTCTTTTTTCTCCCTGGTGCTGCGGATCAAACCCAGGGCTGGATTATGTGGAAGCATTTAACCTAATAAAAGTCCCAAGAGAGGGCTGGGGATTTAGCTCGGTGGCATAAGCGCCTGCCTTGCAAGCGCATGGTTGTGAGTTCAATCCCCAGTACCAAAAAAAGTTCCAAGAGACTGCCACTGCATGTCTACCTCACTGAAAATGAGCTGTGGGCTGGGCGAGGTGACAACAACAGCCTGTAATCTCAGTACTCTGGGAGGCCGAGACGGGAGGATTACAAGTCTGATGCCAACCTGGGCAACTCAGGGACTTAGCACGAGACCCTAGCTCAAAGGTGGCTGGGATGTAGCTCAGTGTGCAGGGGCTGGGTTTAAAACCCAGGACTGATGTTGAAAAACGCCTAGCATAGCCTTCTCCTCCACTTGCCTAATGCCCTCCTCGAAGTGCAAGCCGGGAGCTGCGGGCCAGGAGCCCAGGAAAGCATGGGTATGAAACAGGCTTCTGTAGGCCAGTGCTGCCTGCAGCTCAGCCACATAAACATGCCTGCTTTCTTCTCCATGCTCATGCCTGCAAGGTCTGAGAGGGGCCAGATTTTGCTCACAGTGGGCTCAAACTCCAGGGAACCCCCATCAGTCTCATAGTGTCTATTTCAGCCTCCAGGGCTGTGCCCAGTCAGCAGCCTGACACTGGGTGGAAGTGGGAGACCAAGCCAAGGCCACAGGTTTAGGAGGAAAACATCAAGGAAATGAGAAGAACCAGCCTCATCCGCTCAACATCACCCTGTGTTTTGGTAAGATGAGCATGACCTAACGAGGCTAGTGAGGACCTTTTATTTACAGAGAAGAGAGACACACACAGACAGACAGACCACAAGACACAGGGGCTCCTGTCCACAGATGACAGTCCAACTGCCCCAGAAAACAGGCAGCACCAACCTGACTGCAGCCTAGACGGAGAAGCTGCTGAAACCGCCTGTCCTCTAGGATGGAGGCTTTGTCCTCTGACTTCTGAGACAGCAGGCGAGACAGTTGAATGAGGATGAGGGTAGCATGATTGCGATGCAGGCTGTGATCCCTGCCCAGCAGTTGGAGCAGCTCCTCTGGCCTGGTGGCCTTCTGGATGAATTGGTCTATCTCCTGCTGCTCTGGGTAGGGGGTGAACACTGGCTCCTTTTCCACCTGCTCCTTCAAGGAACTCTGGGAGCAGGCACTGGGGGAGGTGGCTGAGGAGGTCAGAGTCTTATGGGCTACTCTCGTAAACCGCAGCTGACCAACCGGAGCCAGGGCAGGGGCCAGGCGGGCGGCTTCTCTCAGCAGGCAAGAGCACCGCTTTACCAGGTGCGCGGCCATGGTTGCCCAGGGGGCAGGGAGGTGAGACTTCTAGCAGGTGATGCCACAGCCCTGGAAAGGGAAAGGAGAACTAGAGAGGCAGTTCCTGACCCACAAACTTAGAAGAAAAACACGACAAATGTCTCAAAGTCACAGTTACGCTCTGCCTTAAGCCAGCCTTCACCTTTCTTCTTTTGGCTATTCATACAGATGAAATGGTACTTTCTGAGGTGAAAAATCTCACGGCATGGGGCTGGGGATTTAGCTCAGTGGCATAAGCACCTGCCTTGCAAGCAGGCGGTTGTGAGTTCGATCCCCGGTACCAATAAAAATGAAAAAGACCCAAAAAAAAAAAAAAACAAAAAAACTCATGGCATTTATTCCAGTAAAAATTCAATTGGATATTGAAACTTGTTACAGCTTGGAATGGTTCAACTCAGATTTTAAGTCTACTATGCTATAAATATAAATCTGATTCATTTGTAGTAAAATGGATGCACCTTGAATCCATAATGTTAAGTGAAATAAATCAGACACGTAAGTTTAAGTACTGAATGTTTCCTCTTATACCAAAAATCCAATGTATAAATAGACCAAAGTGTAAAATAAAAAATAAGCAATAGAAATGAGATAGGTCTTTTGCAAATGTGAAATACACCAAAGTGTTGAGGAGATGAGAGGGATATAAAAAGATTCAGATGCATCATGTACACGTACCGATTACCACAATGAACGTATTATGTACTGGAAATGTGTAATTAAAAAAAATCAGATTCTATCCATCTTCCCAAATGGGAATCTCTGCAGGAGGCTTAGAAAGCATTGCTATTTTCCTTTCAAGGATGGGCAGGCTTAAGAATTACTGATCCACAGGGAAAGCAAGACAGGATTCTAAATCTTAAGGATTCTACAAAACTCAGGACAAATAACCGACATTCCTCAAGTTTCTGAACATTACACAGGAGAGAGATTTCCCAAACCGAGGTAGTACCTATTTGGAAAAAACCAACCCCTGTCTCAACTCGAGAGCACAATCTCCTAAAGCAATCGTAAGAGAGCTTCCTAATATTCCCGGTTTTCTCTCTCCCTTCCTACAAAGCATGCCTCACGCTAACCAGGCTCCGTCCTTCCACTCCACCTTGCAGGGCTTGCTACCTCTCGCCTCCATCATGGGGCCTGGCGAAACATATCTCATCTTTGCAACCCCTTAAAACGCTGCCTCCTTCAAAAAATGTCATACGTCCCTATGATGCTGCTTTTAACAATTCTGTCCGGTAGTCCTGCTCCCTAAAGTGTTCAACCTAGGTGGACTGCATGATCAGGGCCTGGCTTTTGCCAAAACGAAAAGCACCTCTGCTTTTTTATCCATTTCCGGAAGTTGGTACACGCCCGACACTTTTTTTTAATACAAGTCTAAGAGTAACTTACACGAGAAAATTTAAAAGCTGGACTTGATTTTAGGCAAAGATAACCCTCAACTGTGGTCCTAAAATGCGGCAAGAAAGTCGACTGGAAGGAGGTCACCGCGGGCAGCGCCTCGCAGGCCGGGTCTCGGCACAAGGGCGCGTGCGCAATAACGGGCAGGCGCCGCATCCGCGCACCACTGGGCCCCCCCCCCCCGCCCACCGGGCTCAGATCCCAATGCTTTCCGGACCGGCCCTCACTCCTCCTCCTTCCACCTTTACTTCCGTGCCCTTAGTACTCACGCTCAGCAGACCTTTTTCCTCTAGCACGAGACCTGCGCGGCGACAGCCGCCGGTGACCTCCATGCGTCTCCCAGGCCGTCCCGAACTCACGCGGCAGGGCGCGGCGCGTTTGTACGTGTGCGGAGCGACGCCGGAACCGAGGCGCGCGTTCAGCGTACGTCATCGGAGAGCCACCGGAAGTGAGGCTCTCAGGCCGCGGCATGGCCGGACGGAACCTGGCGCCTCTCTTCCGGTTTACTACCTTGGCTGCGTGCACGAGTCACACACGGGGAAGTGCACTGAAAAATGGGTGATGGAAAACCTACAGCTAGGAAGGAGAAAAGATAAGGAACTAGAAATGAAGGCGGGAAAGCTTGGGTTGTCTGGCGGGTATTTCGTACCTATGCGGAGCTAGGGATCGAATTAAGGTCTTCAAATGAAGACCTTAATACATGAGTTTTTGAAACTCGAGTTCTTCAAACTGAGCTCCACTCCCAGCCATCACGCCCGCTCGTTATTTTTAAACAAGGGACAGAGTATCGCAGTTTTGTCTTGGGTGGTCTCCACCTCGCAATCTTCTTACTTTTAGCCTTCCGGGTAGCTGGATTATAGGAGCGCATCACCCTTACCTGGTTTGCTTTGGTTTTTCCTGTTTGAACTGAGACTTGCACACTTTATACAAAAATTAAATGGGTCCGGAATATAAATGTTAGAGCTAAAGCTATGAAACTCTTAAAAAGAAATACAGATGTAAGGTTTGGTGGGGAGGGTATGTAGCTGGATCGAGGCATGTGTGAGTCTGTGCATGTGATCCCCAGAGCTGGGAAAGAAAGCTTCCCAAATGTTCATGTTTTTTGCCATTTGGGGCGTGATGTGAGAAGCTGCTGCTGCTGGTGGTAAAGAGTTTAAGTCAAGGGATATAGAAAAGTTGAGTTTATTGATAACACTTAAAGGAAACAGTGGGCAAGTTCCAAGAGGGAAATGCATAGACTGGGAGAAAAGCAGGGATCCTTATCTTTGATTTTAATGTAAGGAAGGGAGGATGGGAACGTTAGCTCAGGAATGCTTTTGCTGAGTCTTGATGGTTTTATTATCCACCTGTCTCAGTGCAGGGGGTAGGCAAATGTTCGAAGACAGCGATGGCTTCTTTTGATAGAATTTAGTGTTCTTAGTGTTTAAGAAAGAGAAGAAGAAAACAAAACAATTCTTTCCTGAGTAGGGTTAACACATCTTTATAAGTTAATTAGGGTTGTGGGTCAAAGGTGTTTGGAAAAAAATACATATATTGTACTAAAAGGGGCCTTGGACATGATATAAAGACAGGAGGAAAGGGTACTCCCTAAGGCATTGGTGGTGAACTACATGCCAAACAGCTCTTGGCATCCCTGAAAGCTCTGAAAGGTTTGTGGTCACTGCTGTAAGGCAAGCCAAATGATTAGGTCACCTGGGGATGTAGATGGACTTTGCAGCCTCCAGGGTGGAAAGTTAGTTTTACTGCAGATTCATTGCTTAGCTGCAGTTAGGCTAACTGTGACTTTAGTCCTAAGGCTGGGGCTTGGTCTGGGCTAGTGAGTCACAAGGCTTTGACTCAAAGGCGTGGCTGAGGGCTGGGGATTTAGCTCAGTGGCTGGCATAAGTGCCTGCCTTGCAAATGCATGGTCGTGAGTTCGATTCTCGGTACCAATTAAAAAAAAAAAAGGCATGGCTGAAACTGGAGAGCCAGCCTATCAGGATCAGGCAGGTGCCAGGGGCCCGGCAGGTGCCAGGGGCCTGCCAGCTGCCTTCCCAAAGCCCCCTGGTAGCTCACATCCTTCGGTTGGGAGCTATGTAGCCCTAGGCAGCACATGTGAGGCACATCTGCCCTGTGAGTGGCCAACAAGGAGTGGTTACAGGGCTCAGTCCCTAGCCTAGTGGGTCTAGACTGAGCCACTGAACCTGTCTCCTGCTCATCTGTACCCAGACCTGGCCTGGCCTCACTTAGCAAATATATACACATGCACACATTCGCACACCTGCATGTACACAGATCAAATCCACTGGACTCTCGTGGTACCGCCTTAGTATTGGTGCTGGAATAGGCCTGGGAAACTCATGGCCTATCTGACCTGACTGGGGATAGAGCTCTCTGTTTAGGAATCTGTCCTTCCTGCTTCTAGGGGCTATGGCCTGTGAGAACAAAAAGAGTTAAAGATCAGAGGCAAAGAAAGTGGGGTGTAGTGGAAAACACTTGTTTTTCCAGCGTTCGGGAGGCTGAGGCAGGAGCAGGATTGCTTCAAGTTTCAAGGACAGCCTAGGCGCGCGCGCACACACACACACACACACACACACACACACAGTGCTTCTGGTCTGTTGGTCTGGGAGATCTTAGAAATTTATTTTTCTTCTGGATAAAGGCAGTTAGCAGACTCGGGTGGCTGCCTCCATGACCAGGTAGGTAACTGCCACAAGTTCTAGGAGCTCCGTGGCAGGAAGTACAACAAAGGCCCTTGTAATAACCTCACAGTGTAGATGGTCCATAGGAGTGCCCCTCTGGGTCAGTTCAGTTCCTGCTGTTGGGAGCCTTTGTGGCCTTGGCTTCTGTGTCTGGCACTGCACTTGTCACCTGGGTCCACAAGAAACTGACCCCAGCCCAACCCTGAGCAAGCAACTCATCATGGGTCCTGGAGCCTGGCTCTGTGGGTGCTGTTGTCTCTGGGAACATTTGAGTCAGCAGTAGCCGGGAGTGCAGGAAAAGAAAGGAAATTCTATGAATGTGGCAGTCCCTAGAGGAGTAATCTCCAAAGTTAAGGCACTGATTACAGAGTTTGTCTTTTTTTTTTTTAGGGTGGCAAGCAAAAGTTACAAAAAACACTAGATCTGCATAGCTGAAGGCCATGGTACAATGGGTATCTTGTGAGCAGAGCTGTGTGTAGCAAAGTTGTTAGCACATTCACGGAAGTTTACTTTGATGGCAAATCATATGATTTAGCTGAGCTTAGTGGCAGAGAACAGAATGGCTGCAGCTGTATTGAACAAGATTTCTGTTTTAGTGTGATGTGTGAATGAGCTAATGGCAGCTCCTCTGTGGCTGGCAGCAGGGGTCGCTGAAAGATGGGACAGGAGAGGAACTTCTGGCCCCATCCTGATGTTGGGGGCAGCAGACGATGCTGGTGCTAAAGGCCTGTGAGCCAGTTGCCAAGCCTGCTAAGGAAAAACCTCTCAGTGCTTTGGACATTGGAGAATGGGACAGCTTCTGGGTTGGTGACACTTGTCAGTGTGGAGAGAGGGTGGCATAGCCCTGTCCCAGGGGGGATAGACTGGCCCATAAGCCCTGCTCCTCGGCCTCGCCCTGTGTGTCCCCTTCCTGCCGGCCTCTGATCTGAGTCCCCGATGATAAAGGGTTTGGTCACAGTGCAGCCCTCATGGTGGATCGGGCATTGTGGGATTCTCCCTTCGGAAGCACAAGCAGCTTTGGCTTGTAGGACTGAGACTTCAAGGAGTCTGACGACCTGGCTGCTAGCATCAGGGACAGGTGTGTGCTGCAGGACACTCAGGCCCACTTTGGAGCGGACACATGCTCTGCTGGGATTGTACAGCGCACACCCTTTCCGCCTCCTGGACCCTATCCAGGACCCATTAGCCGTGCCCTCTCCATAGCTCAGCTCCAGTCCCCTCCTAGGGCTTGGTCACCCAGAGCAGGGTGGGGCAGCCTCTCCCGGTGCCATAGGCCAGAGTGTGCCCAGCTCGTGCCTGACTTGGGGTGGCCTGTGCCCATGTACCTGCCCCAGCTTCCTGAGATCCCAGGGGCAAGGCCCTGGTTGTCCCTTTTTCAGATACCTGCTTCTGACCCTGGCCACTGCCAAGGGCTGGAGTCCCGCAGGGGTCCATGGGGTTGGCCAACATCCCCTTGAGCCTTGGGCCCTGCCCCCCACCCATGACCTGAAGGAGGAAGCAGGGCGAGTGGGGTGTAGTCCCATGGTACCTGCGACGCGGTTCATACACCACATGGTGCACCCGTCAAAACAACACCACTGGTTTGCCCCACCGTCATTTCTGGCACACTGGTTCTGTGCCTGACACTGCTCGGGTGCCAGGGCAGCCTGTACCCGGGGGCAGTCTTGTATTTTCTGGACATCTGGTAAGCAGAGAGAGGGGTTCCCATGTCACCGGAGGCCTTGCTGGGTCACCTACGGGGCCCCACTCGAAGAACTCCATTTTACCGATAGGAACATTCAGTGTGGAAATCCCAGGCTGAGAGAATCCCTGGGCCTCCCCACCATGGCAGCTCTGGTGGCCTGCAGCCCTTGGGACAGGCAGGGCAGGGGGCTGAGAGGCCAGAGGCCTGGGCACAGAGCTGGGGTGGGTGTCGAGGGAGGCCTGGGGCCCCTTCCTGGCCTCACCTGGGATGGTTGTGCAGGAGCCGCAGCAGGCGCTGGGGCAGCATACAGCGTTGCCGGAGCAGTCCTGGCTGGTGATGCAGGCTTGCGCTCAGGCACAGGACATCTCATCGGAGCTAGACTTGGGGCACATTGCCTCAGCTGTAGGAGGATGGGGGTCCCTGTGGTCACCACTGGGCTCCTCCAGCAAAGGTGTGGACAGACACCAGGGACTCCAGCCCCCGGAACCCCAAAACAACATTTCTCAGAGGGGGAAAAGCTTCTACCATATGTGTGACAGCTGAAGATGTCTTAAGAAGTCAGCTGTGGAAATGAGGGAGTTGGGGTATGTGGGGCTGTACACCTGCCATCCCAGCACTGGGGGCGGGGGGTGGGAGGGCAGGAAGATGTCAGGTTTGAACCCAGCCTGGGCCACTGAGCAATTTAACAAGACCCTGTCTCAGACCAAAACAAAAAGCTCTGGGTGTGTAGCTTAGCATGGAGGTCGTGGGTTCAATTTAGCACTGAAAAGAAAAATTAGGAAGCCAGGTCACAGGTCCACTGCAGGAGGAGCCTGAGTGGAAGGGACCTCAGTCACCTTGCTCCTATCCTGGGCACCTCTCCCCTGGGAACTGTGGCCTCCCTGTTATCCCTGGCCCAGGCCGGCTGTGCCCTCTGACTCTCTCCGCCTCGCTCCTGCAGCAGGGTGACAGGGCAGCAGTGGCATGCACTGGGCAGTGTCAGGAGGGAGGTCACCTGCGTCCCTCCGGGGCTACCTGATGAGATGGAGGCCAGGTCCTGTGCCAGGGCCACCTCCAGGGCGAGCAGGCCGAG